CAGAATTTAACTGACAGTTAAAAAGAATATTTTCCAAAGGAAGAAGCTTTCGTTTAGTKAACCACAACTTACCTGACAAATGATTGCTAATCAGACATAGTAGAAACGGCCCTACAAGTTCTTGCGAGTTKGTACATATCTTGAATCTTTGCAAATGTCACTTCGAAATGGACTTTTCTCATGATTACAAGTCATTTAAATTGGTCAAAGAAGAAATAAATACATTTAATAAGAGGTACGTATACAAATCTAATACTAACATTAATTATGCCTGTTTGGTCTTAGACCATGGGTTCCCAAAAGATCTTTCCCAAACTGTATGGAAGATCCTCAATTCAATTGTATGTACTTTCATAGGTATGTATGAGAAAAAAAAATCAGAGCAAAGAATATATTATTAAAAACAACAACCACTACACTATATTAAACTAATATTATGGTGAGTAACTCTTTGCATCTGTGCCGCGCAACTGTTGCCAACAACAACTTTGTGTAATCAATATTTCCACTAACTTTTCCATATTGTGGACGTATTTGAATAGAAATTCAAGGTGTAATTTTTATTATGTCAGAAACGRAAAATATTTGAAATATTTTAATATAAAATAGAGAAAAAAAATTTAAGGGAAATAACGAAAATACTATAACTAAAGAAAGTCTTAAAACCTTAAAACGAGATAATCAAAAAGACATAAGCGTTCTGAAACCTTCTCTACTTAAAACAACAGCTATGGAACGCTATTACGTTGGCCGTGATAGCGGTGACACAGGAGCCCAATTATACAACAGCAATAACAACAGAACCGAACAAAGGGAGATCACTGGTTTGACACGTATTACTAAGAAACGCCTAAAAGAGCTCTGCAAAAAGGATAAACTCTATCAGACGCCGGCGCTTAATGATGTACTTTATCTTCACTATCAAGGTGAGCTTTAAAACTAGAGTATCCGGATGTATGATAATAAAACAATTTGCTCCGYAGGCATCGATTGCATTGAGTGCTTGGAGGAATACACCGGGCTCAAATGCCTTTGGTTGGAATGCAATGCCATATCCGAAATACAAGGACTGGACAATCAAAAACATCTCAAGTGCCTATTTTTACAAAGTAATTTGATAAAACGTATTGAGAACTTGGAAAACTGCCCGGAGCTAGATACCCTYAATTTAGCATCGAATCATATACGAAAAATCGAGAATTGTGGCTTCGATGTATTGCCAGTTTTGAGTACGCTAAATTTGTCCTCGAATTATTTAAAAGACTTCGATGGTCTTAGGGAYTTGGAAAATTGTAAGACACTTTCAGTGTTGGACTTATCGAATAATCGTATTGATGATATTTTGGTGGTGAAGGTGAGTAGAAAATGTTAATCTGTAAAAATATACCAATTTAATTTAAATTATTTCAAACAAATCTTAATGTACCATAGATTTTCTCTAAAATGCCACAATTACGCGTGTTGGTGCTACAAGGTAATCCAGTAGTATCTAAATTACCGCAATACCGCAAGACCCTAATATTGGAATGTGTAAGTAACCGTAATTGAGTTGTAAATTTTTATTTCACCACATTAAAATTTGTCTACTTGTTTTTTGGTTTTTGTTTGTTTTTTTTAGAAAGAACTGACTTACCTCGACAGTCGTCCAGTGTTTCCGAAAGATCGGGCATGTGCAGAAGCTTGGTGGGTTAAACCTACTTTTGTCTTTAATATATTTACAAAATAATATTTATAAAGCATTAATTTTGTGCTCAAACCTTTGTAGGAAAATTGGCGGTTACGAAGGTGAACGCAAAGAAAATGAACGTTGGAATCGCATGGAACGTAAAAAGATACGTGACAGCGTTAATGGTAGGTTTCCATTTTGGTCGACCACTTTTTGCCATTTTYCAGCTATAGACATTATTCCATCAGTGTAAAACTTTTYTGGTTTCCTTAGTCATCAAAGATGTGTGTGGTCTAGCGTTGTCCTGTGGTAGTAAAATGTAGAATAAACCAATCAATCCTTGCTTTGCGACCAYTTGTTGAGCTTCACCACGCTGGACCATACTTTTTTCGCGTATTATTGTCGTATTTGATCCACGAGCGAACCATTGTTGTGCTACACGAACTGATACAGCATCGTCTCCGTAAACTTCACAAATTTCATTTCTGGCTTGCGTGACATTCTTCCCTTTTTTATAAAAAAATTTCAAAATATAGCGAATTTCTTCATTACTTTCACTTATTTCTGAACAGCTGTAACGTTTTTTCAACTTYCCGAATTTATTTTTTTTGTTTAAATGAAGCTTACAACTTTTCCAACACTATATGGGATGACATAATGTGATTGGTAGCACTGGAGATATACGACTGTTTAACAAAATTTTTTTTGCGAAAATAGGGATCGGAGGCCAACACGCTTTGGATCCATTCATCGAAAGTGCGACGCGCTTGATGGCTTCAATTCTTGCAGTAGTTGGATTATGTCAGCCCGCAAACGAAGGTCCTTTCCGGAAATTCTTTCATAAACAGGATGTGTACAGCTTCAATTGTTGCGCGTACTGGCGGTAGGCTTGCTCATTGGATTTTCTTCGATGCAAAACATAGTAACAATAGCGTATTCGATGCGGACTGTASGACGTCTCTGAGGATACGCATTATCCAATGAGTAAGCCTGGTGTGAAACCAATAGATGGTTGATCGAATTATTGATTCTTCTGAGCATTTATTTCGATCGAATATTGGCCGCAGCCACTATGTGTCGCTACCGCCGCACCAATATTTTGATAGTAAATTTGCAAGATTTGCAAACTTTGTTTCAAAGTAAGAGTGTTCATCATGGAATACCGAACCAAACTGACTGTAAATAAAAATGCAGCAGACAAAAACATCAACTTCGAAAAAAGTATTGCCCCATTAAAAATCAGACATTAAAAATAAAAAAATAGCCGCTATATTAAACTGAATAACTGGGCATTCGGTTGGAAAATTATGCTCAACTTWCCATTAAACATTTTATTTATATTTTAGGTTGTATAATTGTAATATGTATACCTTAACTTTGTAGAAAATCTATAGATCAATCCTGTACTATAATAATGTAGTTTTCGTTAAAGTTTTGTAGAAACAAGTTWGTTTTTCAAACATCTACAAATAACTATTTCAAATGTCAAAATACTATAAAAATTYACTTTATATACTTGATAAGCTAGCACTAATCGTTCGCCTCTTATGTTTACTTCACAGCCACAATTCGCATGCGAAACAGACATAAGCCACTAGATCAACAAGATGCACTTTTTAATTCATCCGACTCCGATGAAGATTCTATGGAAGTGAAGCGACATCGCCAAGCTGAAGTTGATGCTGGAATAAATATGGAATTGGGCATATGGGAAGAGGTAGTGAATGAAGATAGCAAATCGGAAACAGCTTCCTCCGATATGAATGTTAGCTCATCAACCTCGGTACTAAGTACTACAGACTCAAATGCTAATATTTCAGCGGACTCCAAATCGCTGGAGTTGCGTTCAAATCTAGACAAAGAAGAAACAAAAATTATGAACGATTCTTCTATTACAAAATCTCAAGTTTTAGAAATAACRAAAGATGGTAATATGGGAAATGTATTGAATATTTGTACGGATTCATTGGTAGAGAAAGTTAGTATAACTGAGGATGATAGAAAAGAAGCAAGTATTGCTCAGAAGCGCGTATTTATTGAAGAAGTAGCAGAGCGTGACGACAGTAATAGAACCAACTCTTTCGATATTACCAGCGGTGTAATTGAACGTCTGCTAGACAATGAGATATTACCAGCGGTTGTGCAGAAAACTGGAAATCTAAATGGGTGCATGTCGCAAATACAAAATCTCTCCGATTCCGATGACGCTGGCAAAGACGAGTACAATGCGACCGTGGATGCAATTTCTAAAATAACAATGAATGATCTTTCAACACCCTCGCCCAAGAAACGTATCAAACTACAAATAGAGGTGGATGAGTGTTTTGAAATGATGGATACAGAAGAGGAAGAACAAATTGTAACCGAGAAGAGTTTGCAAATGGAGGTAGAAGRTCAGCAGCAGCCGCAAGATTATAACAGCCATGTGAAAAACATATACGAAATCTGTTCATTAAGAGAGGATAATGCGTTCCCACAAGCCAAAACAGCTGAACAATTAAAATATGAGCAGGAGTGTGAGGAAGTCAACCAAAAGTTAGTAGAAGACTTTGAAGAACTTTCGACGCACATGGATGAATTTTTCGTAGAAATGAAAAAAGACAAAGAATCGGTTGAAAAAACCCAAAGCATCAGCTTCTCTGCGCAGGATTATGAAGTTAAAGTAAATAAAAAACACAAGACTGCCTTGGAAGAGCAAAACGCAAAGATGGATGTGTTGTGCAAAGAACCCACGTCAGAAAACGCCATTGCTTTTGGGGATGAACACATTSCTCAAGTGGAAGTACCTACAGAATGTCAAACAACATTATCAGTTGGTGAAAGAGAGATAGAAGGAAGCAGCAGCAGCAGTACGGATGTGCCGCCTGAAGCCAGCGGCATCGATAAGGTTGTTCCATTGGGTAGTACAGTTCTTAAGGTTGAAGCATTCGACAGTGATGTACCAGGTGATCATGCAGATACACCAATACTAGTAGTTAATAATGATGTTACGGAAACAGACAATCAACAGGAAGCTGTTGTTGTAATCCCGAACTTTGATAGACAACCAGGAGAATCTATCTCAACTTTCGAACGCGAAGAAAGAGAGCTACGTCAATTACTACAAAAACTTGAGGATGAAAATGAGCAGTTGTATAAAATTAACCATGCATATCGACAAGCGTTAGAAAAGGACATACGGGAAGAAATAAAATATAGAGATAGTGACAGCAGTGAACAAACTAATACAATATGCGCTGAAATAATACAAGATCTTCTCGAGGAGYTGGCCTTATTGAAGCAGGCAACGCGAGAACATCCAACCAAGCCGAAGAGCTATGAATTTGGTGAAATTGAATCAGATGAAGAATACAGTTACTCAGATCCACCAAAGTCGCCTGAGCCGCAAATACGCAGCATACGTGATGTGTTGGGCTCCTTCAATGAACTGCTACAGGAGATAGCACGCAAGAATAGGGCTGATAAAGAACGTGAAGAGTCTGAAAACAGAGAAGCCGTTCAAAGTAAATACGCGACCACCGAAGCTCAAAAGGCGGAGAGTTTACAGAACCTTCTAAAATCACCCAATTTGCGAGATTTTAATGGCGATACCAGTGAATTGTTGGATCAACAAATTGCTGTCGAAAAGAAACGCGAGAATGCGCGTGTTCGCAAATTAGTAGACCGGGTTTATTCGCAAAAAGATAAGTACAACGATACTTTGGAAGTCGTAGACGGTAAGCTGGTTGTGGTGAAAAAAGACACTGGCGAGATAGAAGATTTGCCGGAAAGCAAATTTAATTATAGTGATRCCGACGATTCAGATTACTACGAATCAGCTAACTCTGATACTGAGGGTGGTACTGAGTCGACGCGTCTTTGGGACTCGAAGGTGCGCAGAGAGGAGAATGGAGTTGGAAATTTTAAATTACCTTATCGACCCACGGAACGTATACCTGCCATGCAGTTAATACAGAGGGCAAATGCTTTAAAGGAAAAAGAAGATGCAGCACGTGAAGCAGCAGAAGAAGAGGAAAATGAGCAATTCTATTCATTGGAACCAACGAGACCCACTAGTTTCCATGACGTCGATGAGGAATTTATAGATAAAATGGACTTTGAAAAGGCAGCAGTTGAAAAACTCAACGAAGATTGTGTTGTTGAGTGCACACGCAGCTATACCGAACTGAAACAGATCATCAAGCAGGATAAAGAAGACTTCAGCTTGACAGAGGATGAAAATAATATATTGCAGAGAATAGTAGAACGCGTGGAGCAAGGTAATGTCAAGAAAACCAAAAATGCAGGTTCATTTACACAAGAAGAGAATGAGCTAATGCATAAGATGGTGCAACGTACAAAGGAGAAAGAAAAAGAAAAACAGGAAACCCGACGTTTAGAGGGAGAGTCCCACGGAAGCAAAGTTAAGCCAACACTTTCGAAACAGACAATACAAATTATGGAATTTAATGGAAACTCGGCTCAAACTGCTGTGAGTAATGAAGAGAACAGTGGAAACTTTATGAATATCAAACAATTGGACGCCGAATTTCCAATACCACGTATCTTTAGAGACATGCTAGAYGAAACAGATATGAATAAAATGGCGCACAAGTTTCATGACAATGAGCCAAAGCCTGAACTGACGGTTTTACGTAGCAAAGAAACAAATGAGCTTGTAAACAAGCTACAAGAAGAGCAAAAATGTGGATTTTTCAGGAATCCACTCGAACTAACTCGTGGCGGTATAGCAGTGGAACAACAATGTATCGAAGAAAAGTTTCACGAATCAGCCGTATTACCAATAACAGATGAACCAGACGTGGAAGTGCTGGATGCGGTAGATGAGTGTGACGAATTAGTAAAGGAAGGAGTGTTAGAATCCGAATTAGAGCCAGAGTCTAAGCCCTTAGCGATATACCAAGAAATAGACGAAGAAACTTTCAAAGAAAAAGTGGAGCTCATGAAGGCTAATCCAGCCTTCAATGAGAAACGTGAAAATCTCAGAGATGTGGCAGTTAGCGTGCTGAAATTCGATGGTAGTAATTACGAGGAATATGGCATTGATCAAGAAACAGCGCGTGGCGTTGTCGCATACGAGAAAATGTTGAATTTTGGTGTAGTCGAGACCGAAKATGAGTTTCTAGATGCGCCAATGGGCGAGGAAGAAATGGTAAAAAGCGTAACCGAAGCGCTGCAAAAGAATGAGTTGAAGAAGGAAAAAGAAACGAAAGAAAGCATAGCAAAAAAGGAAGCAGAAGATGTAGTAAACGAGTCCGAAGTACAAAATCAGCAACAGCCGCAGTCTAATATGGAAGAGATAGAAGATGCGACCGATTTCTATGAAGCGCCAACCAAGACAGATAATTTGAAAGAAGACACCGATGATACGGTTGAAGATAACTCCAAAAACGTTAATCTATATGATTTGGAGGAAATGACTAAAGCGAATATGAAAAAATTAGAGAATCTTGAAAATGAAATCACAAATTATTTATATCAATTCGTGGATCATATACAGAGTCAAGCAGATTATAAGAAATTAGCAGTTGATACAGAGTTTAAAGACGGTTTAGTTGAATATAAGGATATACCTCAAAGCCTTGGTAAATTAGGTGAACATATTAGTGATCACAACACAGCATRTAAAATACAGCGAGAGACAGCAGCCACAAAACTCAGTGATGCTATTACAACACACCAACAACAACCAGAACCTACAACAAAAACTGAAGAACTTGGCAAACCCGCCGTTAATGACCTACAGAAATCGCGTAGTCTTGCGAATCTACTGAAATCACCAATCCTGAAACAATTCAACGATGATACCAACGAAAGCCTGGATGCACAAATACAGGCAGCGCAGAAAAGCGATTTCGARTTGCTCGAATGCAATCTGGAAGTTATTGGCGATGACGATGAGGTRGTCAATGAAATCACGGTTAACGCCGAGATTACATATAATTCATAAACAAATATTGAAATAAAAAAAATTGTATGTATATTTTTTATAAAACACAAGTTTTCAAGTACCAATTAATCATCTGAGTATATATGTACAAGTATTTATGGTCCACATGAGTACTCAGGTTTCACCAAATATACTATATGTATGTATGTACACAAATTATTGAATGATTTTGCAATCTCATTTTATTTCCATCCATATACATACATACTGTCTCTTATACACATCTAGATGTGTATAAGAGACAGCTTGTTCTATTAACGGTAGTCTATAAAAAATACGAAAACCGGTTAGAAAATATATGTGTACCAGTGAAAACCGGTTTTGACATTATTAAATTTTATTGAAAACCASCTAACAGGCGATGTAATCGTGCATAGCTAATGAAATCAGTATTTCTTATCAGAAAATAATTTTTTTTTGTCGCATTCGTTGTTTGCTCAAAACGCCGGGAAACTGGTTCGAACTGGAATGAAATTGAAACACTTAAGCATTTCGCGCCGTTTGTGCGCTAACAAAAGGTCTTGAGGTTATCCGCACTTCAAAATAGATGTAATACTCAAAGTGTACTTGAAGCGAAAATTATCCATAAGAGCTATTCAATGYTAATCCCTTATAGGTAGGAACTTGYCAGCTGACAGTAAGATGAGGYAAGGATATTTAATGTTCTATAGCGTAAAAAGTATCAACTTTTGTAGGCTTAATGGTTTTTTGTCTGTTGTCAAGTGGATACGTCCGAGTTTAAAGGTTGAAAAACAAGTTCGTCAAAACAAAAAAGTAAAACATGACTTCTGTCATSGCCCAAAATTCATTGAAAGAAGATACGAGTCCGCGCTTAACTAAAAATACTTTCACTTGTTTGTGATGAATTTCACCAGCAGTGACGTCTCACATAAACTAGGTATTGGTTTAAATTTTGTTGATAAGCAAATTTAAAATATTTGAAATTGAAAGAAATATATTTATAACACTAATATTTTATATTGCAAATTTATTCCTTTTTTTTTTGTTTTTTTGTTTTCATTATTAACTTTCAGTTGTGTTCAGGATCTCTCTGTTGATTATTTTTATATAAAATATATTACATAAAACTAATCCTCAGCAAATACTTGTCGATATCATTTGTTCAAGTATTGCTGTACATGCTTTCGATAGAAAAATACAAGTGTTAAGCTCTTAAAAAGTGTTGTGCTGAAGACTTTGTAATCGTTTGCGATCTACTCATTAAAGAAGTAATGCGAAGAAATCGGGTAGTAAGAGGTATACTTTTGAGCCGTTCCCACGAYAGTCGGGTCTACGAAAACCGGAACGGACCCTGATTTTTATCCGGCCAAGGACTGTCAACTCGGCAGAATTTCTGCCGTTAYAACAACAACAACAAAAACAACAACAACAGGTATAGTTTTGAGTGGAGAAAGTGTTTAACATATGTATATTATATCAAGTAGGCTTGGTCCCATCCCATAACAGGTCTAATGTATCTATTTAAGCTGCTGTCTCAACATTTATAATCACCGTCGTATTTAAAATTGGAACAAGCGGAGCATCACACCAATTACTTCTCACGAGACATTATTTTGAAAACATTTATCATCTAAATTTTTACAATAGGTATATAATTCAAGCATTACTAGTGGTAGAAACTCAAAACTATCGTATTTAGTTTTTTTTTTTTACAAAAGTGGATGAAGCCAATTCCTGTCGTCTGCCAGGTCTCAAAAGCTAAAGTTATTGATGTTTTATGAAATTAAGTAAAATACTGCCTTTTAGTACACTTTTTCTAGGGACTTTCTTTTATATAGGGCATCACGATAACCGCTGAATTCACTTTTGCRCATTGTACATTGCTGGGCGGAAATSATTTCCATCCTGTTTTAAATATAATTTTAGAAAATAAATGATCGTTACTTCAAAAATAAATATAACAAGTGTGATCAAATTGAAAGGTGAATTTTTAATTTATACTTCGCGTGTGTGTGAATCGGGAAATATTTTTTTCTGTAAGTTGGTAGTATTGKTACTGACATCTATGATAAATTTCACGACAAAATATTCATTAATATTTSAGATACGCGTCGTTCTGTGAGGCTCTAAAAGTGAATTCTTCAATTTTTACTATGTCTGAATTTATTGAACAAATAAATGCGATAATGCACCACCTCATACTGTGTTGGTTATTCGTGATCATTTCGTCCCATTTTCCACTAATATCGTGCCGTAATCATGGCATCAGCAAATCAGGCGATTTACTTTCGTTTAACTTCTGGCTATTCAGCAAATTCACATGATCACTGTGAGGACACCCTTTTGACTCAATTGAGGATATAAAAGCTGAATCGAAGGTACTGATGGCCATCACGAGGAAGGATTTTTCCAAGTGCTATGATGACAGCAAAATTCGTTGGCATAAGTGTTTTGCAGCGAGAAGGGATTACTTTGAAGGAAATGAAATGGACAAAATTCATCTTTCAATTTRATCACAGTAGTACATATACATATGTRTATTAAAACRATTCCTATTGGTTTATTGATTCTAGAGACAAGCAAGTAGAGCAAAAACAATAGATGCCTCCAGATTATTCTATTTTGTGCTTTACACAGGGTAACTTTTTGTATGTATATTTTATTTTTAAGGGGATATACATTATTATTTTCATTATTAATTCGAGAATAAGATGAATCTCAAATTAGGGGACTTTTAAAAAATGTTATCGACAGCGCGACCGTTTGACGATGCCTGTGTTTGGTTTTCGTTGTATAAAAGGTCAATTGAAGGAAAGAAAAAAAGTAAAAAATATTTTTTTTTTTTWYAAAATTAGCTTTTTTTATTCAACATAGTTCCCATCAATGGCGATGCACTGATTTAGTAACCCTCCAACTTTTTGATACCATTTGTCCTTTGCGACAAAATTTTAGAATACGGTAGGTGTGGACAAAATTCGAAGCCGAATTTTAGTTAGCATTTGATGTGCCATTTTGATACACTATTCGTAGAACTTCCTGTATCTGCTATTACGTTTCATCTTCCCTCTTAAATATGATATCCTTTTAGTGTATTCAAGATTTGGTGCTTGTTGGATTCCAAGTGTTATGTGTCGGATCTGTGCTAGAGCTGGGTATTCGCAGAGAAAGTGGAAAATTTTTTCCTTGTTCCCTGCTATTCTGCAGCCTCGGCAGATGTCGTTATAGGGCACACCCATTTTGGCCGCATGTTCCCCAAAAGAACAGTGCCATGTTATGGTAGCTGTTACTTTGTAGATACTTTTTCTAGACCTATTTAATAAGTCGTTGGTTCTTTCCTGTCATATGTTGGCCATAATTGTTTAGTTATGACGCATTTTGTAATGTTTTTCCCTCTGTTATTTGCAACTCGTTATAATTGTCTATTGATCTTTCCTTTGATCGACGCAGCGGGCAAGTTGCGTTGAGGAAAGCTGCTGCCTTTGTCAACTCGTCTGCTTTTCTTTTATGATGAGTCGACGCTTCGAGTTTTCGAGAGAAAAGTTCTGCGTAAGATTTATGGTCGCGTTGGCCACGGCGAATATCGTATTCGATGGAACGATGAAACTGTATGAGATATACATTGATATAGTTCAGCGAATTAAAAGACATGTCAAGTCAGACGAATACACTCTAGATCTCAAAGTATTCGACGCAGCACCCGCCGGTGGTAGCTGAGGAAGAGGAAGACCTCCATTCCGTGGGAAAGACCAGGTGGAGAAGGGCTGTTGTTAACTCGGCTATAACTGCGTAAACGTTTTCTACACCAGCAAACATGAAGAAGAAGATATGCGACTTTCTGGCTATTTTAGTTGAACGATGGTCAAAGCTTAACTAAAATTGCAATATTTAGATTTCCAGGTAATCTGCCTCAAGAAATACTTTGGATTTCKGTGGGTGAAGTTCGTTTAGAGTATTTGGACGCCGACCGATTTAGAGCTCACTACAATTTGGAGAARACTTACAACGGCCATACATAATAAGACGAGGAATTCAATTTACTTTAAYATTGCCACTTCAAGAACCTCCGATCCAGTAGGAATTCAAGTAATCGACCTCATACGTTTTGAGAATGCTTCACGAGTTGCATTAGTCCCAAACTCGCAACAACCATGACGACTTTCTTTGCAACACTTAATTTGATGAGTTTTTAAAACTGCATTTCGCAATTTTCTAGTAAATTGAATTTCCGCCAAACACATCGATACATCTGAAAGAATCGAATCATGATTTGCGCTGGTAGACGTGCTCGTACAACCATATGAATGTGCTTTCACACACCATTACCCTGAAGAATTAAGCTAAGTGCTATACATCAATAAGAATGGACGCTATCAGATAAAATGTCGTGAGCAATAACGCAATGTCTGGCTTATTGTGAATGTATCGCTCGATAGGATGTCAACTACACAACTACAAATAAGAATACGTATGCAAATGTAGGTAAATGGAAACTTGAACTATTCGATAGTCATGCTCACATGTGGATTGTACGGACGCGTTAGCTGGTCTACATGCCTCTGGCAACATGTTGCATGAGTGGCAGCCGATATTGAAGTGGTTGGCCATTGTTGGATTGGTGCCATTTGCCAACAACGGCAAACGTCAACTCCAGCAATGGCAACGCATCTACACATTCATCATGCTGGCAGCGAATTGGATTCTAACTGCCTATGGGATCTTCGAACAGCCAATGGATGACGAAGTGCTGGTATCGAATTATGTCAGCGTTATGGTTTTTCTCAGTCAAAGTATATCGCTGAGCGTCTGCCTGCTCGAGGGAATGTRCACCTATCGTCGACATTTTGCATTCTTGCAACAATCACAACGTATTGTGTGGCTGTTTCAGCAGCGCCTACAAACTGGGCTGTGTCGTTGGAGTTTGCGGCGTCGCCAACGTTTCAAATATATGTGCTACTCATGTATCGCCTATGGCAGCCTACCCATATCGATGGTGGTCATTTCGATCAAATACTATTACGGTTACTTTTGGTATGCGTTGGGCTGTATTCTGGTGTTGCGCACCCGCTGCCTGTTGGTCATTATCTATATGGATTATATCGATTTTTATATGACACATTTGAATATGAAGCTGCGTTCGGTGGTCAATTCTCGTATGCRCAAGCCGCGCTTGTGTTTGGATGTCAATTACAGAATGTTGGAATCTTTCGATTATTTGTTGCAGCTGAAGTTGGTATATAGTGAGATATATAAATTAACAACTATGTTCGATGACTTATTTGGTTGGTCGCTATGTGCTTTACTAACAGTTATTTTTCTGGATATTACCGTTAATTCATATTGGACGTTTCTAACATTATCGCGTGTTTTCGAATTCTATTTCCTATACTTAACTATGTCAACGGTATTCCCACTGGCAACCGTTATTAGTTTTGCATGCTATGCTGGGGAGAACTGCAAGCAGCAGGTGAGTGGATTAAATTTTTCGTATTGAGAATATAAATTAAAGTTTACGCAGATGTGCAGTTTTAATTGGTTCATCCTTCCCGTTCATAATAGGTCTAATAAAAAGTAATCGATTATTTTTCCAATAGGTTACTTTAGTAATCTGTATTTCGAGCAGCTTCTAAGGCAGTTAGATAGGTAGAAAATAATTGACGCTTTGCACTGCGACCTATGGTCTATTGTGTCCGCTCCTAAATGGTCAAAAAGGTCCAGCACTCTGAACTATTCCAGAAGTTTGATGGATCCGAGGGTTTTGAGCCTGCTTCTACAAATTGCTGGGAAACTAGAATCGCATTTTCTGGAGTTCCCGGTTCCATGTCGCTACACCGGTAGTTTTCGCAAGGGACTATACTATCTAAAGCAATTATTTTTGTTATTTGATTATACAAAAATACGCCATATTGTACAGTTTTTTTTTTGAACAAAGGTGAAAACGTTAGCCGGGTGGCTGAAAATGTGAATAGTGCTTAAGATTGTCACACTAAAACATCAAATTAAGTTTTATAGTARGAAAGATCCACCACGTTCTGAAAAGCTAATTATCGAAAATATGGTTAGTGGTGATGAAAAATGGGACATTTATGACAACTCAAGTGAAAACTGTCATTGCCGTATTTTTACGATATACTCTAATCGAATTCTCAAAAAATTGATTATATGCCGACATTAAGCTTTTATTGATTTGGGAGTTTCTTTGGACCCTGAGCTTAGTTTAAGTCTTCCTATTGATACCTTATGTAATAAAAGACTATAAACTGGAGCAAGTTTTTAAYTTTGTTGATTTGGGAGTTACTATGGACCATAAGCCTAATTTCAGTATTTTAGTAGTTCTCACTTTTGTCAAACGTCGGTCTAATTCTAAAGAATTTAAAGATCCGTATGTTACTAAAACACTATTTACAACTTTGTTTTAGACCTATGACTCTATTGTATGGAACACTAGTTCCCAAATTCATTCTGRCAATATAGAGTCGGTTCAAAAACAATATTTTCTTTTMGMATTAGGGAATTTCCGATRAGATTCTAGGTTAAGTGTAGTTTTAAACTTAAAAATTCTGAATAGAATAGTTAGAAGTTCTTATCATCTGTCTGAAGGTAAATTTAATATCTTTGCYTCCTTTTCGGAGCAGTTTATATCCTTAATATAAGAACCTTGTCGATAAAATTTTGAACTTAACGAACCATTTGATGATGATTTTAATTCTTATTCCTGCTCATTTGATTTATCTGACTCACTTTTTGAAACTAAAAAGACTATACTAAAAAGACTACATTGCTTTCTCTCAATAAATAAAATCGTARAATCACATTGTAMACATATGAGAACTTTTATACTTTATAAACTCATTTAAAAACCGAATTATGACATTTATTTACTTCTAGTATTGAATTTTATATAATTTAGAGCATATCCACCGGCATCCTGGTGCAGCGATTATTAAACAGCAGATACAAATATACAAATACAAAAACCTACAATGATTTGTTATTCGAATTTGCTATGCAAATAAAGCAAGATCCAATGGTAATAGCGCTTAAAGAATTTGTGGTTGTGGATTTGCGATTACTAATGAAGGTATGAGTTGTGAAGGATGTACGTTCAATGAGCAAGCTTGTATCATATGTAGATTGTGACAAAAAAAAGTACCCGGAATTCCCCAGTAAATGATATAATATTATAAAAAAAATGTATTTTGTAGAGTTGGTAGAACTGTCCTTAATTAAGATGCTAAATAGGARCGCGTTCTGTCATTAAGTTTGCTTACAGCAGCTGCTTAAGTCGGTACACCTCAGTAATGCATTKCAATTTTTTAGAATGGATAAAAACATCCAACAAAGAATTGATTAAAATTTTATATKTGTAAYMAAATTTCGTGGAGAGAATTGTTGAGAATGTTGAATAAGGCTTACGGCGAGTTTTATTTTATTTAATATGAAAAAAGTGAAAGATATGGTGCTAAAAATCTTCAAGTACATATATCATCAGCAAGTGTTAAAGAGATGACAAGAGAGCTCTACATCTCTCGTGAGTCCGTTCGAAGGATTTTGGTGGATATTTTGGATAAATTGGGTATGAATCCCACATAACTGCCAATGAGATATGGGTTTATAAGACCATTGAAAAATTTCCGGGTACTTTTTTAATACAATGTATATGAAAATATTTTAATAGGTAATGTATACTAACTTAAAGAATGCAAATTATCATATCTTAGATGAATAAAATTAGAAAATAAAAGTAGATGATTTATAATCAAAAATAGTCTTAGTGTAATTTTCATAAACTTTCCATTGTACATTATAAAAAAAACTACAAAAATGTCTCATAAGATATTCATTTCATTATTTTTCAGATTTTTACAGCAATAGTAACATATTTGGTAATACTATTACAATTTCGATGGACATATCCCGAGGACTACGGAGATGTGAACTGAGCATTTTTAAAGCAACRAAATGAATTAAGCAATATTTGGAACTATAATGTGCATACATATATATACCAAATATATTATATACGTTCAATTATACATGTGCATACATTTGTATGTACACATATATATATATAGATATATGTATATAATAATAATGAACACATAGGGTAAGAGGTTTGGAATCAATTAAACAATACTAAACAATTTTCAATTTCAGGAAATGTATTGAATGTACATATGTATGTACATACATATGTCTACGGAAATAGTAAATACAGTGTTAACATTTCGTTCCAGTGAACAGTACTTCAAGATTTCCTTTATACATATATACATATATATTATATCTGCATACCGAATTATATATTTATAAACAAATATATAGCATATGTTAATTAGTTGGTTGGAAGTACAAACATGAGTGTTTTTATGAATGAATTATTCAGCTATTTATGGAAAAGGGGCTCGGCTCTTCTCACAAGAAGTGAGCGTGAAACCGGTTTGCTTGTAAAATTTAAATTTTATTTCTTTTGCAGCGATAATTCGTCATATGGTAATTAAATTGCAAATGAGAACAAATGCGTTAAACAACGTTAGATAGAAGATATAAAACACATATCTTAGTAAATGAAATGTGTGCACAGGGCATATTTAAAGAAGTTAATAGAAAAACATTAAGGAACCGAACATTTTATACTTTTGCAACTTGTAAGGATCAAAGCAAGTTAAATACTTTCCATATTAAAAAATATTGTTAAAGAGTTCAAATTCATTGTTCGATGAAATCGTTAATGGATTACAATCAAATTTGGTATTATATTAACTAATTCTGAAGTTCGTAGACTCCTTCTGATTTACTGCAATATCGTASTTTGCATCAGCGAACCTTACTTTAAAATCATCCTGAAATGAAATGAGAATATATATAAACTCAACCGMAGACGCTAAATTGAATATATTGAGTTGAAGTGAAAAACGTCCAATCAGAGGATCGAAATGCATTATATAAGGGACATGAAGTTTAGACCAAGACCAATTCATTAATATAATATTATAACTCTTAAAAAAGTGTGTCCACTCAGTTTCACAAAAAGATCACAAAATTTAACCAACCTGAGCGGTATAAAGCAGGGCAAAGTCCAAAAACATTATATGGATTAGATTGAGGGCAATGAAATGGGAGGGTTGGTGTATATTATATATGGAGTAAAATCTGCCGGACTTTTCAAAATCCTGAATATCTGTTATATGGGGGATAAGGCAAGCTTTCGCCTGATTTTTTTTTTTAATTTTTGGAACAAAGATATTGTAATTAGAAAAATATGCTCAACTCTCAAATTAGCCGACATATCCATTGTTTTAATTATTAGACCACAGTTGTCTCTTGCCCTATAATTTTATGAACCACATTACAATTTTATACCGTTAG